AAAAAAAAAAAAAAAAAAAAAAAACACGAAAAAAATTAATAAAACACCTTCAAAACTGCATTATAAACTACTAGTATGAATCTTTCAGACCATAATAATTTAAATTGAAGAACAATAAACCTTGTTTAAATTCCCGATAGAAGCCGATTAAACATGAGATGATATTGATTACACAAGGGAAAGGGATGTGTATATTTTGATTACGGACGAGAGCATTATCCTTCCCTGTATGAAATACACGTGTATCCTTTGTTAAAGCGTATTTAAAGTACAAGTCTCTCTCTCTCTCTCTCTCTCTCTCTGTCTGTCTGTCTGTCTGTCTAGCTGTCTCTCTCTCTCTCTCTCTGTCTGTCTGTCTGTCTAGCTCTCTCTCTCTCACACACACACACACAAACACACACACACAAACACAGATAGGTGTAGGTGTGTTGACACCGTATTGACTAATTTGCCCCGCCCCTTTTTAATGCGTTTCCATCCGTCCATTGGCTCTCACGAGTCTTTTATCGCGGCCATACTGAATTTTAATTTAAAAAAAACTGCCCATTATGGTTGGATAGCCTAACAAAATCTGAAACACAGCAGTTAAAAATGATTAACAATGTGAATGAATAAGTGTTTCTCATTATAAAGTGTCCAAAGGCATCGCGGATGACTGTACAGGTGCGCGTTACACACCAATCCAGGTATGTCATGCGCATATCAGTATGGCACCGATGCGTCAGTTGAGCACACGGGCACAATTTCAATAGCTCAAACGGTGTCCAGAGATTTAAATTTTACTCCAAATGTCTCATATTCAATAAAAAGTGTACTCTTTCAAAATACATATTAACAGATAAATACATCACATATTCGAAAGTTATTTCATTCTCAGCATCTAAAGTCCTAGTTAGATATAAATGAGGAAACAGCTATGCCAGCGGCGGAGGGAGTAGCGCCCACACAAGTAACAGCCTTAGATTAAATGCTTTTGCAATGAGTAGACGGTTATTGTGTGTGTTTCAAACGTGGATAGGGAGGTGCATTGGCAGGGGGACAGCGAAGAACTGTTAACAGTCTTGTTACCCCATCTCTGTCTAATCAACAGCCTTAATTACAGGAGGAGAAAAAAGAAGAATCTACCTTTAATATATCAAGGTGCTGCGATCGTGATTTAAAGGTAACACCGTACACATATCAACTGAGGAATTTAAAACTCGAGAGTCGGAAATTGGAGCAACAATTGGATTGACTCATTCCCAGTTCAGCGGAAGCGTTTCAGGTGTATGATTCCCTGCAATCTCGTGGAAGGTTTTAGGGATAAGAATTGTTAAGAACAGTGATTTCCTAAGTATGTACAACGCGTAAAAACCTGTTGTAGGGAAAATTAAAAACGTCCACCGGTCAAGAAATTGACAAGCTTGGATGACCTAATTTACCATCCAACATGGCGACGAGTATAAACATTTCGGCCAGGTTAGTCTTACTGGCCTTCTGCCTGTTTTCTGTACATTCCATGGTTGTGAAGCGGACTGTGGTTCCTAGCAACGTTCGTCCAGGATATATTGTGTCCACTGTCGGGAATATAGGACAGAGCTTTGGTTTGGAAAGCCCAGACAAAGAATTTGAAGACTATTTCCACATAACAAGCTCAGGGGAAGTGATCACTTTGGAGAAAGTGGAGAAATTTATCAACAGAGCTTTCTCTTTAGTAGTATCCAACAGTTTTGGCTCCAACTCATGGACAGAGCCTATTCATGTTGTTGTGCAAAATTATTCAGAAATTTTAGTCTTCCCCAAGGCGTCCTACATTGGCCATGTCGGTGAAAACCAGCCGGCTGGTGCTCTGGTGTCTGGATTAGATAGCTTACAAGCACATTTTAAAGGACAGGCCTTGGACAATATCAAGTATGCCATTGGATCTGGTAATGATCTTGGGAACTTCCAACTTGGAACCAAAAATGGAATTGCCCAGGTCTTTACCACAGTGCCTCTCGACTTCGAAGCCAAGGCGTTTTATGATCTCGTCATCAAAGCACAAGTAGATGGGGAATTAGAAACTGCAGAAACAAATGTTAGGATTAATGTTGACAATGAAAATGATCATGTACCAGAATTTACCCAAGAGAAGTATGCAGGAGTGGTTTCTGTTAATTCGCTTACAGGTAGCCCTGTGTTGTCTGTCCAAGCGCGGGATCTTGATGAAGATGTTATCTCCTACTCGATGGATTATTCCGTCAACTTTCAAATGGATCCCAAAACAGGAGAGATTACTGTTAAAACCAACAAGAATCTTGACCCCGTCCCATACTCCTATACTGTTTATGCTAGTGATGGCAAACATAGCACCTCTGCCTTTGTTAAAATACAAGTTAGGGGAGGTTCACTCAAATTCAAACCTGAGGTACATCAGCGCAGCAAACGCGCTACAGAATTCACCACTTCTGCCGCTGAAACAGCCACTGGGCGGCTGTTCACTTTACAGTACACTGGTACCGTTCCAGATCCTCGTTTCTATCTCTCTGGCCCACCCGATATCTTGCCTCTTCTAAGCATTAATCCCACTACGGGGGACGTGTCACTGCAACCAGGTCAGAAACTGGATTATGATGAACCAACACAGAAATATATAGGCTTTACTGTGGCTGTCAACAGCTCATCTTCAGATGGTGAGTTATTATTTGATTAAATAGTGTATTATTTGTTGTGAATGTGCTTGAATGAGAGGGTGGTAATTTATAGAATGAAAATTATAGTCTGATGATTGGTTTAATTTTGATATGTATGAAAAATGCAAATCTTTTAAAGATGGTCACTTCAATGTTTTATTGTTGTTATATTTATTATTATTATTATTATTATTATTATTATTATTATTATTATTATTTAGTCTGAAAGGTCTGTCATATGCAGAAAAATAATTTTTAGCCAGGACAAGCTATTTTTCTTTTATGAAAATATGGGTAATATCCACATTCCATAAAGAGTACAGGTGACAAGTGTTGACAGAATCTTTCTCTTAATATTAACGACAAAACCTGGACCTCTTGACACTTAAAAAATACTGACAATCTTAGACCACAGTGGAGTCTATCTCTCAAGGACCATTCTTAAATATCCCCCCTTCCTAGATCATCATAAACCTCCATAATATTTGACATTGTTTCAGATTCTTTGAAAAGAGGAAAATTGATATATTTACATTACTATTGCACTTCATCTAATTCTCTGTTTGCAGGGATAGAAATGTCCATAAAAAATTGTGCTTTATCTTTATTTCATGGACAAATAAATATTTTTTATATTTTATCACTTCACCTGAGCATCCCATTTAAAAGGTTAACAGATAGCTTGTGAAATACATCCTTTAAAACAAGTTTAAAGCAAACCAATTAGAGGTGAATCAAATGCAATTGGTCTAAACATTAAAAACTGCATTCTTTCATCAAACCATTACTGTAAAGCAAATCTAATACTACAGCAATAAAATTGTCTATCAAGCTCTGTCAGGATTCATGATTAATCTGTTGAGCTGGGTATTTATTTCTATTAATCACCGCTTTTATGGAAGTGAACTATGAGTGAATGTGTTTGAAGGATGTAACCACAATTACCACACAATATGCCACAAAACAGTGATCTGAGGCAGAGACTTTTTTTCAGACCAATTTTTTCATTTATTTGATTTTATATGGCTGTTTTTTTTATGTAACAGTTTCAAAAGCAGAATGGTACCCCTCTCTCGTGCCAAATTAATTACCATATAGATTAAAACAACTGTGTGAAATATATCTACCCAACATGCCATAAATAAATGTTTTCACACTTGTAATGTCATCATCCAGATTGGCAAGTTGATTCAAATGCTAGTTATACAAGATTTCAATGGGTGTTGCAAAATAAATAAATAAATAATAATAAAACTTGAATACTACTTTAAACAGTGAATATTTGCCAATGTTTTAATTAGTGGCTATATTGATATTTTTGAGATGTAGGTGTGGCAAGGACAAGTTTTTAAAAAAATTATTTGAAAAAATAAATAAGGGAAAGGAACGTGAAATTAGATTTGAAGTATTTTTGGGTAAAGTACTTAATACTGAAAATTGTATTTAGTTTGTTCCCCTTTGGTGGACAACCTCTATAGATCAGGGCCAGTAGCATCCCAGGCACTTGCTCCCTAGATGTTCCTCAAGGTCCTTGGTTTTGAATCGAAATTACTGCCTTATTTACTACGCCAAGTGTCAATTTGAGCCAGGACAGCATGCAGGTGACTTTCAATGGGGCAGAGATCCCCTGACATAAAAATATCTGACATCCGAGAACTTTCTCCTATTATTTCCTCCAGTGTGTAAAAAATCTGTTGTTAAGATGAAAGCCTGCATTTTTGAGATTCAGTGCTTCACTTCTGCTCTTCAGTAATTTTGAATACAGATTATATTTCACGATCATTTACTGATGTTAGAGCATATAGATTTATATTCTATTTCTGACTGGTGTGTACATGCCGAGGAATGAAAGAATTTTAAGCTGATTGAAAAAAAATTTTTTTTTTTTCTATTCTTATAAAAATCGTCTGTATTAAATAAGTTTTAGCAAACAATTATTTTGGAACTGAAGGAAATATTCAAATTTGAAATATTTGAAGGAAATATTCAAATTTGAAATATTTCTTCTGTAGACATGAATACCTTCAGGATTTAAAAATAATGCTATTTTGATACTGGACAAATAATTATAATCATGTGTCTGTACATCGTTTTATCCAAAAATGCCCATACATACAAATAAATACAAGCTCCTAGAATAAAATCTTTCAGATGAACTGAAATAATGTATTAATAAACCTGGGCAAGTCATGTTTTCTGACCCTTTCTGCAGTAAGTCTTCAACATTTATTCTATAATTTTCTTGAGCAATTTCATTATTTAGTTTATTGATTTAAAAGTCAAATGAACACATTTAGCAGTATCATTGATAAAGAGGCAAATATTCTGAAACAATTTTCATTTTCTTTATATAAGAAAATATTTCTGAAAAAAGATTTTAGCATTTCACAAAATTGTTCCCTGGCATTGTTTGGAATATATCCATTTTGCAGTTAGAGAAATCTAACCACATGCATCAATTTGCCATGAAGTTCTCCCATTCTGATTGATGTTCTGATTAGGAACAATTCAGGAATCGTTATCACCATGAACAACATCAATCTTGTAGAAAAAAGACACCATTCTATTTCCTAGATGGCAAATTATTTATCCATTCTGCTAACTGCTAGCATGTTTTGAAATATTTGATGCATGTTTGATGGTGTATTGTAATACAAGCTGATAAGTAGGCAACTTGGTGGAGTTTTTCTACTGCTGTAGCATGCAAAACAGGTTATAATATGGATTTGTGCTGCATTTGACTGTTTCAAACCATTTATTTTAGCGTTAAAGTATTTTTACTTGATACATTAAACAACGCCTTGAACCATGTGAAAGGGAAATGTATTTTCTATTCAGTTTCTCATAAAAGAAAGATGAATACTGATATACTGTGAAAAAGCCTGTTATTATGTCTTTTGCTTTGATCTAACTCCAGATCAAAGTGGAGCAGGCAGGTGTTTAGGAAATCTCTGTACGACAAGAGTTTATCATGCCGACACATCTTTACCGTGCAACTTGATAAATGTCTGCAAATATATCGAATAAGCTGTTTGTTTTAACTTTTCTCTCAAATATCTTTATAATTTCAGTGGTAAATTTTGCTTTTATGGTATTTTTTTAACAAATTGATAATTGTTTTTATGATATTTTTTAGCAATAATCGTATATTACAAAATGGCCCATATTTCAGGGGGAGTGAGAACACGCTTATTATAGTGACTGTGCTAAGATTGTGCCCCTGTTAGATGAGTCATTGAAATGGATTTTAAACAAACCCCCTTCTGTATGTCAATACCTTTCTTTCAATAGAAAGGGAAAATATTTGTGGCCTGTATCACAGACGACATCTGATTAAGAGGGTTGTGTATTGTTATGTGTGAATGACAACTAAGGATACCTTTGTGGAATGGTTTATGATATAAAAAACCATGATGTTGAGGATTAAAATGGATCGTGTCATTTTTCATGCTCAAAGTACTCGGCAATAAAGCCGTAGGAGGAAGGTATTCAAATGATGTGACTCTACGTGATGTTAATTCTTAATGTTTGGCCCAAGCCATTAAAAATGCATTTAAACCATAATGTCAGGTGAGGTATTTGGTGTTGTTAAAAAACAGAGAATTAAAACATTTTATCGGCAATATTTTCAAAGATATCTCCACATTCCAACGGTTTTCGTTTGATTAATGTAGCACTCCCTTTCAGTTCCAAACGAAGCTGGCAAACTTCTTTTGTGAGTCCAACAAATGGGGCTGTTTGCTTAGAAAAGAGAGAAATCAATAAGTCTGACATGTCTTTCAAAGTATGGCCCCCAAACCTAATGTGGTGGCATTTATTTTCTGTTTGATCTGAGCTAAGTAAGTGCAGATACTTGGGTCAGGAGCCTTCTCCAGCACTAGTTTTATGTTGAACAAGATTGTTGTACAAGGGAACAATAAGGCAACAGATCTTTTGTTCCTTTTTGCATTCATCTCTCTCTCTCTCAAAAAAAAAAAAAAAACGTTTACAGAGTAAATTAACATATTGGTCACGCATGGTCATCTCACCATTTTTTATCCAGCCAAAACTTGATGATAAAAAGGTGATGTTCACTGACTTGATACACTTGTTTGTCATCTTCTAAATTTTCTGTTAAGTCAGGAAATACTTTTTTTAAAAAGGCCAGTCATTTTCAGTGTTTTTCATTCTGAGTGATTAAAAGAGTGATTCTATCATTCTCATAAGTATCAAAAATGATGAGTGTTTAAGTGGACCTCTTTGTATTCATTGTACTACTTTCTGTCAGATTTAATCATTTCCCTGAACTTAAGTGCATTGGGCCAGACACAGCAGACATTTGACATGAAAGGGGCCTTTAATTTCTTTGCTTTTTTTCCTCTTTTTATTTTGTGCAGTGAAAACCATGAGGATGATCTAATTAAACCTTTTTTAGTGTAGTGAATGATGAAAATGATGAACTTGAGCCTTTCTTGTCGGAATAATGAAAATGTTCAAGTTGAGTTTTCATGGAGTCAGAACCCTGAAAAAGATCAAATTGAGTCACAGTGGCGTTGATCATGGCGTCTTTCTTACTTGTCGGGTTCATTACAGCATACCTATACATTAAAGGTAACATTAATGTCATGACTTTGTGAAAGACTCTCATTACCTGTGATATCTGCACTTTTATCTTTATAGCACCAAGAAAGGGGAGGTTGTGAATGTCTTTGTTAAGCAAATGTGTCTGGGTTTTTGAGGCATATCTGTGTATCTGAGGTCACAATCAATATGGAAAGAACGTCTGGATCTGAAGTTGGTAATAATAGAAGTAAAACAATCCACTTTATTTGTCATCATCTTTATATAAATGTGAAATGCTTATATCCTAAGAAGGAAACTTGATGCAAAGGCAAGTGCTTTGTAAACAATCGATATTTGGAAATTGAAGAACCCGTCTTTGGAAGTAGCAGACCAAATGTAATGTCTATCAAGCCCCAACTGGTTAAGGACACGGCACTATTTGCCGCTTAAACAGACAA